GAAATGTATGAAAACCGCTTTAAACATCCTACATTATTAGGATGTTGCATACGAAATTCCGTTTTCTCGTATACCTTCACGGAATATCTTCTCTCCAGTTCCTTGCGATTATCGAGAGAATCTATTCGTTTAGCAACGATCGCGTCTACGAAATGCCGAGTGCAAATCTTTGCCCGTTCTTGCTTTTTTCGCGTCCAGAGAAAACCATTTCCAATACAGTGTCAGCCGAATGCGCGTCTCCGCTTTATGCTGCTGACGTTCCGCAGATTTATTACCTTATAAATTGATATACGCATTATTGAAAGAACCATTTTGTAGTCGTCGCGACGCATCTGTGAGCTTTTATGGAAATACTCTTCCCTCTCGGCGTCCATGAAATATTTATCAACTAACAATGTCGCGAAATGGCAATCGGACACGTGTAAATACATAAAATTTGACTCGGCGTCGACGCGTTTTAAAATCACGTTTCCACTCGACAAACTCGAGCGTTTTACTGCTGCTGCTACTTTTACCAACGCAGGGATAATAGTTTTATTGGTTCTCGTTGCAAACAACAAAACTAATCTATTTGCCGCTGTTTTATAAAACGTTTCTAGGTGTATTTCTATACTTATAAGCCTTCGACGCACAAATATCTTCACAGCTCGGACAACAATTCAGAACTGTGAATCAATTCTTGAACTTGTTTTCACTCGATTCTCGGAAAAAAGAGACGTCATCGATTCTCTCTTGGTAGAAGCTCTTGCGTGAAAGTGAAATGTAATTTCAAATTACGGCGCTCGTAAAAATTTTCGCCAGAAGTGTTCGAAACTTGCTTTGAAAACTGCGCTATAATACAATGTTTTCAAGCTTATTATACGAAAGGATATTGACAATATTAACAACATTAATAACAACCCGTAGGAAAATACGAAAGAAAGTAAAACTTTATTTGCAGGATTCGATAAAGACTGCATAAAGTGATAAATAGAAAGGGTTGTACAAGCCAAATATATGGTTTGGATCATTTACACCCGAAAAATCTTGAAACTGTGTCTGCGACATACACAAACATAACTGTTAAGATGTTAAAAAGGATTTATTAACTAGTCAATAATACTTACACTGCAGGTTCCTTCATTGCCGATATAATAATACTTGGAAAAATGCTATTATTGGAAATGGGTAGATAAATAAAAGTAAAACGCAGTGAATTAAACTTATCCCTTTTAGTTTATTAATTTGATGTACGAGGAAGGACCGTCTTTACTCTCCTGATTGCTCCAGGAGACTGAAGACTATTCACAAAGACGAAACCAAAAACGTCACCTAAAGACAAAGAGCACTCTGTTCTATATACATATGAAATCATTGTTTATCTAATGGTACTCTGGCGAGACTCTCGGCGTCGATTCGTTTTTGTAACTTATATGCTAGAAGGAAAAACTTCTGAGTATTCAAACGAGAGAAAATAATCCAATAGCTATGAAGCATTGCTATTGAACGGAGTGTTAAAAACCACGCTTTGAAATACATACCGGAAACTAAGTCGCCTAAGTTCGCTAACCAGTCAGAGCGAAATCAGTAAAGCCTCATTACATATCGCTTCCGATGGTCTCCCTTCGTGCATCGACTGTGACGGTTACTTGCAATTTGTTGCAAACCGCTTTGCCCTTTCACCATCGACTATACCAACGATCCTTACAGTATATTNTCCAGAGAAAACCATTTCCAATACAGTGTCAGCCGAATGCGCGTCTCCGCTTTATGCTGCTGACGTTCCGCAGATTTATTACCTTATAAATTGATATACGCATTATTGAAAGAACCATTTTGTAGTCGTCGCGACGCATCTGTGAGCTTTTATGGAAATACTCTTCCCTCTCGGCGTCCATGAAATATTTATCAACTAACAATGTCGCGAAATGGCAATCGGACACGTGTAAATACATAAAATTTGACTCGGCGTCGACGCGTTTTAAAATCACGTTTCCACTCGACAAACTCGAGCGTTTTACTGCTGCTGCTACTTTTACCAACGCAGGGATAATAGTTTTATTGGTTCTCGTTGCAAACAACAAAACTAATCTATTTGCCGCTGTTTTATAAAACGTTTCTAGGTGTATTTCTATACTTATAAGCCTTCGACGCACAAATATCTTCACAGCTCGGACAACAATTCAGAACTGTGAATCAATTCTTGAACTTGTTTTCACTCGATTCTCGGAAAAAAGAGACGTCATCGATTCTCTCTTGGTAGAAGCTCTTGCGTGAAAGTGAAATGTAATTTCAAATTACGGCGCTCGTAAAAATTTTCGCCAGAAGTGTTCGAAACTTGCTTTGAAAACTGCGCTATAATACAATGTTTTCAAGCTTATTATACGAAAGGATATTGACAATATTAACAACATTAATAACAACCCGTAGGAAAATACGAAAGAAAGTAAAACTTTATTTGCAGGATTCGATAAAGACTGCATAAAGTGATAAATAGAAAGGGTTGTACAAGCCAAATATATGGTTTGGATCATTTACACCCGAAAAATCTTGAAACTGTGTCTGCGACATACACAAACATAACTGTTAAGATGTTAAAAAGGATTTATTAACTAGTCAATAATACTTACACTGCAGGTTCCTTCATTGCCGATATAATAATACTTGGAAAAATGCTATTATTGGAAATGGGTAGATAAATAAAAGTAAAACGCAGTGAATTAAACTTATCCCTTTTAGTTTATTAATTTGATGTACGAGGAAGGACCGTCTTTACTCTCCTGATTGCTCCAGGAGACTGAAGACTATTCACAAAGACGAAACCAAAAACGTCACCTAAAGACAAAGAGCACTCTGTTCTATATACATATGAAATCATTGTTTATCTAATGGTACTCTGGCGAGACTCTCGGCGTCGATTCGTTTTTGTAACTTATATGCTAGAAGGAAAAACTTCTGAGTATTCAAACGAGAGAAAATAATCCAATAGCTATGAAGCATTGCTATTGAACGGAGTGTTAAAAACCACGCTTTGAAATACATACCGGAAACTAAGTCGCCTAAGTTCGCTAACCAGTCAGAGCGAAATCAGTAAAGCCTCATTACATATCGCTTCCGATGGTCTCCCTTCGTGCATCGACTGTGACGGTTACTTGCAATTTGTTGCAAACCGCTTTGCCCTTTCACCATCGACTATACCAACGATCCTTACAGTATATTATACGACGCCATGATATCGCACGGCTAACGGCCTCTTCCTGCCCACTTTGTGTGCCTACATACGTCTGTACGCGTGACATTTTACGCGGCACACCATTGAAGTCGAGGTGTCGTGCTCCCCCGGTAGCACATGCCATTAGGATTACGTGATCCTTTTAGACGGCTTTTTAATGGCGGAGTCGAAACGATCGTATTTAACACCGCGGAATCCCACACTTCCTTGTAACTAACCGGCTAATCAAACGCGAGCACATTGAGACGTTCGCGTTCACTGGCGGGTAATAAAAGCTACCACAGAGCGTAACATTTTGTTCCGACGCTTGTCATTTGACACCTCGCTAATTACATTCGACGCTACTAACTTTCATTGTTCCTCTTTACGATATCGTTCGATATAATTTGGTTCGCCATACGCAATCTTTATGCGAATTCTTATCGTCGCGCGTGATTTTGCAAAATTTAGAATTGAAGAAAAGATTCCTTTATCGACTAAGAGATTGTTCATTGTAAAAACGAAGTAAGGATGCTGTTAGACCTTGCTAATTTATAAGTTTTCTTGTATTTTTGGAATATTTGCATATAAATGTATAAAGATCCGCAATTTTTAGAATCGATCTCCTCCGAAATGAAATCGAAATCATTTATCCGAAAGTTTAGGATCGGGTACGAAAATTCCGTCAGAGCTTGTTAGCTTTTTGCAATTGTCCCCTTCTTTCTTGCCGACATAAGATACTGCAATAAATAAATTCGGAAAGCCTGCCAGTATGATGGAATTCGATGGTAAATGTTTAACTTATTAACTCGACGTGTTTGTTTTGAGTTTGAGATTTAAAATGGGAATCATTAAGTATGACGATTGTAAATATTGTCAATATATGTGTGTAAAAAATAGTTACAAAATGAAGATATTTATATCGATATGGAAAGACATTACATTTTCTTAGGAGATTGAGTTTTGTCATTTCTAACATACCCTTAAAACTGTTTCAACATCTGACAAAATTCTCCTGTTAGACAACAATGCCTGGCTCTGTTCTTACCAAAATATTCGAAATCTGTATCTAACTTCTCAGCATTAGCTGAGTTTTTTAGCTCAGCATTAGTTATTAAACAAGAGGATTGAACTGATCGGTCGAATAAGTGGAATTTTAAGAAAAGAAGTCGCTGTTATCCGGTATTGTTGTCCCAGGCACTGTGGTCTACGCATTTACCGAAGATATTATACATCCGCATCTCGATGATCGCTAAAACGATAAAACGTCATTTCACATCGATTTGTCGAAGCTGACGAGATCGGTACCGCGTTTATACGATTTCAGCGTACCAGTTTCATCGAATCATTTTGAATTAACGCTACTTACTCGTCGCCATAACTTCGCGAGTCCTAACATATCCTCGACCACAGCCATGGATTCGACAATCAGCGGGATTCCGCAACATCGTCGACTTTATGTTTAACTAGAATGCTACGAGTTCCCGACGAAGCACTAGTAAAAGTGTGCACCGGTACGAACGCGGCAAACAATGGTTCAACATCTAACGGAAATGTGATTCTTCCACAGTGCACCTGCTAATCTCATACATCGGCTTCTCAGAAGTCCTGCAACCGGGTTAATCGGCGTTTGCACGGCTTTTGCGAACATGTGTTTTTCAGTCGCATGTAATCTGGCCCAGCGCGATATATCAGCTCTCGCACAAGATGTCTAATCATGATTTACGTTCGGCGCGTCACTGTCTTGCCTTTTAACCCGATTGTCCACCATCTGTGTCCCCATCATCAAATTGGTGAAATGTTGCTTCAGAGATGGCGAAGCCCGTGCAACCAGCGGTTCCGTCCGAAATCGGGCGCGGCGAGCAGCCCGTTGAACGGGAAAATGAAATCGTCATCGAGCTGGATCCACAAACTCAGTACGGTCGTACGCAGCCACGAGCTAACGAGCCTCAAGGTAATCATTTGCGCAATATCCAGGTGGTCCACCCACATCTCACGAAACGACACCTACATTACTTCTCTTCTGTTCTCTTTCGGTTTTCCCTTGCCCATTAGACGCGGCCACCATGTCTGTATTACACTGTCGCGCACTCACATGTACACACATAAGATCACGCACACTAACGCACACAAATTACCCGTTTTTTCACCGGGAGGATCGGCGCTGGTTTTATTTGTTGCATACCACGTACGGATGTGTGTCCTAACATTACGCACCATGTAAATCCTGTTGTTTGTAATTAGATGCACTGCCATTTGTTCATGTTTTCGCCATCTAGTTTTCCATCGGGAAAATCGTTCCCATTGGGGGATATGGACCCGGAGGAACCTTGTGCACATGGTTACGCGAATGGATGGCCATTCGGCGACAGAACTCGGACCATGAGACCGTACTTTTCGAGAGGATACCCGTTGATTCCCAGTTGTTCGTGATCCTTTCCGAACGGTACGGTCTCGCTCGATTTTTCTGCACCGAATATCGCCGATCCCGCGTTAAGCTCGGTACACGCTTGAATACAATGTTCCCGAACAAGGTACCGGAACGAGTTGCGGAAAAAAACTTGAAATTGCGTGATACCCGAATCAGATGTTTTCAGATGTTTTCGTGTAGAAAAATGATCGGTTCACTTTTGTCACGTTGAATGCCGACGAAGCTGATGTTCCACGGTATGTCTTAAAGATCGTGGCGATAGGACGAGTGGCATAGAATACAAGTTGGTAATACGACTGAAACTGCTAAATAATGTTATCGGCACTCGGCGTGGTATTGATTCAATTATCTTTACAGTTCTCTCTTTGAATCGATTTGTCTCGGTCTACGATTCGAGTAAAAATACGGAGAATTTTCGAATTTTCATTTTCGTCACGGTTACTTGACACAGGCAAGCCCAACTGAATTTGTTTACTAATGTGTCGCTTGCCTTTGTTAGAATCCCCCGAAGTGTTTCTGGGTAGTTTGCAACAGCATACAAACAGTTGCGGTACCATGTTGCGAAACATTGTTCCGAAGTACGTACTAAGCTTGACGGTGAACGCGAGACGGAGTTTAAGGCGGGGATGAAAGAATAAAATCGAGTGAGACTGGATTGCACTCGAGCGATTTTAATATGGACATTTATACAATTACAAAAACACAGATCGACCGCGGAACCATTTAAACGTTGTACATGTTCGAAGAAACGAAAACGATAAGGAAAGGTAAAACGACGTTCCAGCGAACGCATGAATATGCATTCGGTCGCGGCAGCGATTAAATGATTCGCGCTCGTAAAAAGGTAAATAAAGTCTCTAATTGCGTGATATTAAATCGACAAGCGTAAAACGGACCACCTCTCGACAAGAAAAATGATATTCCACCGCGTTGGTATTGTCGTGAAATACGAGGTTTGATCAAAGAGTTCCCGGAATTTCTATTTGTTGTTTCAAGAAATATTCACGTGTTTGCCGACCTGTTCATTCGATTCAATTCGAAGTGGCATTCATCGACTGTAACACACTTGCACAAGCGTGTTTCCAATCCTGAAAACATTTGTATAACGCTTTTCTTGGAATAGCTTCTCCAGCTTGTTGAGCGATTCCGCCTATATCTCTTCTATAGTCGCAAAGCATTGTCCCCTTCGTCTTCGGAAACGAGAAAATGTCGCAGAGTGCCAAATCCGACGCATTCGACGGATGCGGCATCGTTGTCGCGTTGTTCTTTGACAAAAGTTCACGAACAAGTCGCAAAGTGTGAAGTCGGTGCGGTGTAGTGCAATATCCAGCAGTTGTTTTTCCACACTTCCGGTCAATTTCCTCCGACTGCTTCATGCATATCCTTTCGAACAGTGATTCGACGACTATCGAGAATATTTTTCTCGATCCTTTCCACTTTTTCATTGGTATACGATGTGCTGGGACGTCCATCTTGCTCGTCGTCTGTGACATCTTCGCGACCATCTTTCGAATATTTGTACGTACCAGCCATAAACGCCAAATTCTTTCATAGCAGATTCACCAAAAGACGTCTCTAACATTTCGCGCATTTTATTGAATTTGATTTCATCTTTTACATGAAATGTAATACAGATTTTTTGTTCCGTCGTTTCCACAATTAAAAAACCGCCGAACTAGGGACAAGGGATGGCTCAGAAATAGCTAATTGTTAGTATACATATACAGTCTGTTCACTAAGAGCGTTGGAATGATATCGAAGTAATAATTGTTTTCAATAATTCGTAAATTTCTTTGAGATACGCATACGTGCAATATCTAATAAGGTAGTGGAACCGGTTACTGTGGTAACCAATTGTTGCGTCATTGGTTCGTTCTTCAGCATAACTAACTGTATATTTGTCGAATAAGGCATATTAAATTTTTGTATTCAAAAGTAAACAAGATAAAAAAATTAAAAAATTGTATGTATTATTCGATAAATATAAAGTTAATTATGCCCGAAAACAAATCAAAGCCACAGAAATTGGGCGTCGCACAATAACCGGATCCGCTATCCTATTATGTAAAATTCCTATTATCTTGTAACGTGATCTCGCAACGTTTTGGCATACTTTTCACCAGAGTTTCTGCATATTCGTTACTTCAACGTATACAGAGCGAGTCGTTTAACTGTATCGCCTGAATTTACTTATAAATACGTTTAGTAGCTTAATTTGTACGTTAATAGTTTACTATATTATACGTTTGCAACATATAGGCCTTCCACGAATCTTCATCGTCAAAGAACACTCTTAAGTCATCGACACCGTTTCCTTCTTTCTAATTGGTACACAAATGAGTCCATCGTTTTGAATCATTATCCTATCGTAGCATCTAGGATGTAATTCAATTTCAGATTCTTCGAATCCCTTTTTTATTGTAATAATACTTCATCCTTTTTAATCGAAGAATTTTGTGCGCTTTTTGCATCTTTCTTCAAAATCGCGTCGACATTTGCCGTCGTCTTGTAACAATGCACTCGATTTTTCACAAATTCCAACTTTATCCTGACGTTACAAGAACGACTTTTGCGTGTATTGAGCCGCGGCTGAGAAGCTTAAATTTTGGCCCTTCAATTAGTTCGAGTGAGTGCGAAGAAGCGCTGCGTCGAAGTATTGGCCGTATGCAGCAGTCATCTTTAATCCGAACCGATCGCTACGACAAAAGTATTGAAATACTGTTGAATTTATAGTAACGCGATTGTCCATCGCCAGACATATAGACGAAGAAATCGTTTCAACGCTGTCACCGCCGTACATCGTGAACATGTGCCGCAACACGAGACAAAAAAAGGGTTTTCGGTCGCATTCGAATAGCGGCGTAAAATAGAAAAAATCTGTGAACTCTGATCAAACCTTGTATCTGCGACCCGAGAGGGTCTCGAAGGCTACACAACCACGCTCCGTACCCGATCTTCGCTCCCCATCCCCAGATTTCTTGGTACCCGCAGAAATTCCTATCCGCAAGAAGCAATAAGTCGTCGTACCGTGTCTTCTTCCGTACTGATTCAAGTTTCATTGCAGACGTGATCGCGACGCCGGTGGTTTACTCGGCCCAGACCCTGACCGGTGCTCTGATAGGGACCTGCTTCTTCTCGCTAGTAGCGGGTTTCGCTTCCGGGTTCTGGTTCTCGCAGAGGCTGCGAGGCGCGCCGTATCCGGAGCCGTCGGAGCAACGGCAGCAGCTGAACAGATTGACCGAGAGCTCGGAGTCGCCGGGCTTCAACAACAAGTCCATCAACCTGGTGCTGAACGTGCCGACGAAGAACCCGAACGGGAAAAACGCGAACTCTTCGGCGGAGAACAAGCCGGTGCAGAAGGTCAAGAAGACGTACATATGATACAGAAGGCGACACAGGGCCGTCTGAGGCTTGCCGCAGGACCCCACGGGTTCCGGCTCTTCTTCTTTCTCCTCTTCCTCGGATCTCGCGGAATCAGACGGTCGCAACGACGAGGACGACGACGACAACGACGACGACGATGACGACGACGCCCCCGTCGCTGGCATCGAGAACGGCGACGAGAATCGCTTGCCGAGGATCACCGGCGACCACATGCTCGACCTACCGATCGGCCACGATGAAGACGCGTACGAGACCGTAGTCGGCGATCAGAGGTCCATCGAGTTTCTCGCCCTCGCCAGGGACGCGCCTTACGACTCGCGGTCCGTGTCGAAGGCCATCGATTACCGTAGACGATACGACGAGTTCCAAGGGTGCGAGTACACCGAGACGGCGCTAACGGAACCAGCGAACGAGCTCCACGACTGCAGCAGTAGCAGCGCTAACAGCCTCGACGATCTCTGCCGGGGCCATCGGCGGGTCTACGCCGATTTCAATCACGCCGAGTCCTCGAGCACGCACGACCATTACATGGTGCCGACACGGGACCCCCGGGAGCTCAACGAGAGGATCCTATCGCTGTTCAATCCGCAATTCCTGCCGAATTTCAACGATATGATCATGTACGTGGCGAGCCAGTGCGACACCAGGCGCAGCCCGCCGCCCAGGTCGCGATCGATGGCCGAGGGCGAGGACCGGTTCTTCAGGAGCTCCAGCTACCGGAAGAAACGCGTCGGCGCCGGCTCGATGTTCTTCCGGCGCGGTCTGATGTACGAAACGGCGCACAAGTGACATCGGGTGTTCTCTCTCGGATCGGGAGGAAGGACTCACGGATGGGTGGACGGATGTGTGAAACGCGAGACACCTTGAGAACAATGTCCCGCGACAGTCGATCGACGGGCTGGATACTGAGAGATCCCGACACACGGATGCTCGCGACTTTCCAGCAAGATTTTACTTCGCAAATATCTCCTTGGTACAACTGTCCGTTCGAGAGACCGCCAAGGGACGTCATTGACGAANGTACATATGATACAGAAGGCGACACAGGGCCGTCTGAGGCTTGCCGCAGGACCCCACGGGTTCCGGCTCTTCTTCTTTCTCCTCTTCCTCGGATCTCGCGGAATCAGACGGTCGCAACGACGAGGACGACGACGACAACGACGACGACGATGACGACGACGCCCCCGTCGCTGGCATCGAGAACGGCGACGAGAATCGCTTGCCGAGGATCACCGGCGACCACATGCTCGACCTACCGATCGGCCACGATGAAGACGCGTACGAGACCGTAGTCGGCGATCAGAGGTCCATCGAGTTTCTCGCCCTCGCCAGGGACGCGCCTTACGACTCGCGGTCCGTGTCGAAGGCCATCGATTACCGTAGACGATACGACGAGTTCCAAGGGTGCGAGTACACCGAGACGGCGCTAACGGAACCAGCGAACGAGCTCCACGACTGCAGCAGTAGCAGCGCTAACAGCCTCGACGATCTCTGCCGGGGCCATCGGCGGGTCTACGCCGATTTCAATCACGCCGAGTCCTCGAGCACGCACGACCATTACATGGTGCCGACACGGGACCCCCGGGAGCTCAACGAGAGGATCCTATCGCTGTTCAATCCGCAATTCCTGCCGAATTTCAACGATATGATCATGTACGTGGCGAGCCAGTGCGACACCAGGCGCAGCCCGCCGCCCAGGTCGCGATCGATGGCCGAGGGCGAGGACCGGTTCTTCAGGAGCTCCAGCTACCGGAAGAAACGCGTCGGCGCCGGCTCGATGTTCTTCCGGCGCGGTCTGATGTACGAAACGGCGCACAAGTGACATCGGGTGTTCTCTCTCGGATCGGGAGGAAGGACTCACGGATGGGTGGACGGATGTGTGAAACGCGAGACACCTTGAGAACAATGTCCCGCGACAGTCGATCGACGGGCTGGATACTGAGAGATCCCGACACACGGATGCTCGCGACTTTCCAGCAAGATTTTACTTCGCAAATATCTCCTTGGTACAACTGTCCGTTCGAGAGACCGCCAAGGGACGTCATTGACGAAAGAGAGAGAGAGAGAGAGAGAGAGAGAGAGAGAGAGAGAGGCGAGAGATATAGATAGACCGAGAAAGAGAGCAAAATAGATAAAAAGAGGAGGAGGACTCGTCCGACAAAGACCAAAATGACACACCTCGACGTATCCCGGGAACTAGTTTCGTTTTTGTAGTCGTTCGTCGCGGAGAAGAAGCGGCGTGAGCCGCGAACGCCCTCGCGTGCTTCCGGTGCCGTGTGTCGTGTCGTCGGTGAACTGATCCGCGAGCAGAGACACACGCGAACGTTCGAATTATTTTTTTAATGTGCTCTTCAGCAGATGCTAGCTCTCTACGGCGTGGTTCCAGGCGGGCACCGCGCCCGGCGAACGCTCGAGGACTCTCGGGCCGATTTTTCACCGGGAACTCGATCGTTTTTTCTCGAGTTCTTCCTATTCCGTTTCTCACCAGTACGGCAATGGACAGGGGATCGCATGAGGGGAAACCGAAGAGAGGCAAGCGTACAAGCAACAACGACGATGGGACAAAGGATCGACTCGTAGCTGTGTATTGTGATACGATCATGAAGAGAGACTGTGTTCGTAGCAGTGGCCTGCTTAGGTGCTTAGGACCGCGGTGATTTAAGGACGGACGAGGAGCGTCTCGACTCGGGACCTCGTTTCTCGGATAACACACAATGTACAAGAGGCGAGCTTTTCGAGCGCCGTCCACACGCGTCGTAGATTCTCAAACGCGGGAGAGCCTGAACCCGTTCGCGCGGATGATTTTATTCAAGGATGACCGATTGTTAACCGATACCACTGGAGGAAAGCTTTGGAAGGAAACGTTGGCCCGCTTAGAGACGCTTCGGACGTTCGAGAACGAGACGAGGCGTGCCTTCCGTATATTAATTGTTGGCAAATATCTGATCTATAACAGAAACGGGAGAGAATGCGGCCGGTATAGATTCGGGCAAGTGCCTCATTTAATGCGTGTTCCGTTTAAGATATTCGATTAGGAAGGGACGATGCTAAACGGCGAGTGATGCAGAGAGAAAGAGATCGAGCGAGAGTAAGAGCGAGCGAGCGAGAGTAAGAGAGAAAGAGAGAGAGAGAGACTAATGTAAGACTTATGCTGAGTATTGTTTGTGCACTTATTGCCGTGCTGTGAGTATTGGTAAATAGCAAGAGAGAATTGTGGTGCCGAAGCACGTACGGTTAATTAGTAATGAACCGTTATCGCGTTACGGTGTCTTCGAGGAGTATGTATTTTTGGCTGGGACGTGTTGAATCGATATAATACCTGTTTGCCGGTCGACCGACCGTGGTGTAGAGGTTTTTTAATATGTAAATGAACGTTGCGTGGCAAATGAGTCGCCCGACTGCGATTATCAATGATTGTTTGAGCGGGGACAATTGATACGAGGAAATTTTTGGAATTTTAGCCCGCGTGGCGGCAAACCCAAGATTTTAGGACATAGTAGTGGAACACATGCCTTAAGAATTCGTTCAAGTTTTTAGCGATTCGAGCAAAAATTATGTCATATATGTACATATACATATATGCGCGTGTATATACATAGTTGAATTTTATTATTTCGCCGCGCTACAAGACGTGTAACGCGTACTAATAGAAACTCTCCCGGTCGACGAAAATATATTGCAACGACGCGAGAGATTGATTACGTTCGCGAGTTTAATTAATCCTGGCGGGGGGAGGGGGGGGGGGCTCGCGACAAAGTCTTGATAAATGCATTCATGCGATTCATTTCACGGTATTCCTTTAAAAGCTCGTACTGCATATTATCCGACACCGTAGCGAAAACTTGGTAGCGTGTAGCCGGGGAGCGAACACTCCTCGACAAAGTATCCTCGAAGAAGCTCGGTCGAGGAGACGCGCGACGAGAGGGTCTTAGCGTGTTCGGTTAGACGCCTTTGACAATGGCGTGAATCGGTCTTACTAGGGTATAATAGCGACTGCTGGTCGTATTTCCTTTACAGCTTAACCGTGGATAGAGTGCCTGCGAGAAACAGCGGCCAACGTTTGTCCCAGATAACAGAGAAGATGAAAAGAGAACAAGAGGAAGGAGGTCCGGAGCCGGGCGAAGCGCGTGCGCGACGCTGCTCAGGAATCCGAGTCATTCGCGATATTCCAGCGCTGTTCAATTAATTATACATCGGTTCCGAAATTGCTTAGCCGTTCGACGGATTTCTTTGAGCGCGCTGGCGGTGACGGCGATGCGGATACAGACACGCGAACGATGCAATATCGGCTATTCTTCGATTCGAATTCGGCTTGGAAAGCTGAACTTGATCGTTGGCACTTCGTTTGGTCAGCAGACTTCATTCGTGCACGTTTATGGCACATTTAACCCCTGGCACTACGATCTCTCCCACAACTGTGTCGATCAGCCTCCTCTCGTCCCGAATTGTTATAATCCGATGAAACGAAACAATTTTTGTTTCTCATAAAGGTGCGTATCCGAGTATTGCGTCACCGTTACGTATCAATGTGGATCGACAATTGCTGCGTGGCAGAGTATGCGATGAATCAAATGTTGTTTCGATTTAGGACAAATGAATACTGAATAGTGCAAGGGATTAAATGTACGCATACACACACACAAGAAGTAAAGACTGTTGATATCTTTATGTGCTTTAACACTAAACCTATCATGCCGACCATTTTTACCGGATTTTGTATCATAAGACTATTGACATTATAAATAGGAAATCTAATAGATTTCTTCATTCGAACTTACATTATAGTAAGAATGGTGAAACGTCTAAGTAAATTCAGGTTTTGTTATTCTTGTAGAGCATCAAACGTTAGTCACTTCTTGAGCTCGATAGGTTTAACGTTAAGTTTGCGTCAATGTATGTGGTCTAGTAATTTCAATCACCTGGTATATCTAGTTAGCTAAAAAGTATTAAGTTGATTCTAAATCAATCGACTGTGCAGTCTTTCGCGTTGTCTGCACGCTCGCCTGATATTTGTGACTCGCTGGACAAGGATTTGCCAAGCTTCTACATCAGTGGGAAAGGAAGACGTCGCGATGACGATCGATCGAACGATTCGACAAGAGTCCGGGTAACTCGCGTACACGCGCGATGGGAGAATGAAACGAGGAAGATCAAGAAATTAGCTGTAATCATTGAGAATATTAGAGACGAGAGGGAATCGTTAGTATTGTTAGCTCGTTACGGAGCTCTGTCTTTCGTTTTTGTATGTAGGACAAGTTTATTGGTCTCTTTTCATCGATCTCCGGCATCGTTGTGAACAGACGTGTCCGGTCGCTCGTTAACCAACACTGCCGCCCCAATTCTAACGTACTTCGAACGGAGAACAGTAAGACAAGTTTTAAATAAAATCCATCGATTTCCACTGATTGTCATTGAGCGGCCAGAAAAGGACAGAGAAAGAGAACAAGAAAGAAAGAGGAAGAGAGAGAGAGAGAGAGAGAGAGAGAGTAAGGGGAACAAGTACTTGAGATTGAGACGTATCGGAGGAATAGCTTGCTATGGAAATGGAGCTAATACACGTTCATAAACGCCATTTCGGAGAGGCACACAGTTTAGAGAGGAACAAGAGAGAACCGGGAGAAAGATCTGGAAGAAAGAAGAAAGTCGTGTAAATAGGTAGAAATTGTTTTTTATCGTTGAGAGGAAAATGAAAAAAAATGGATCATTTAAGCGAGATCGAGGAATTCATTCGTTACGCTATTCGTCACGCGGACAGAAGTGGTACGCATTTAATGTTTCTATATATATATGTATATATATACATACGTGGATATGCATATGTATACATATTGTATTCTCATTATTGCATATACATATATACATAACACACGCATATACAAAATATATATATATATATATTTTTTTTTTAATCCGCGTAGATGAATATACTCTGCAAAAGAGAATGAGAGAACGCGCTAAATAAGAGAGAGAGAGAGAGAGAGAGAGAGAATAAGAAGGAGAGAGATAGAAAGAGCGAGCGAGAGAGAGAGAGAGAGAGAGAGAGAGAGAGAAAGAAAGATAGAGGCAGCTAATTACACTTTTTCAGCGGTCTTTATGAAAGCCCGCGATCATTTTTAATTAAAACAAAAAGATAATGATAACAAACGAAGAAAAATTTCGCCGACCGCCCGGTCTCATTACACTCCGGACAATGACAGCGAACCGTCGGGCACTCGGCAAATATTTTACAAATACTGATGTTTATATATTATACAAAGACAAAAAAAAAATGAGAAAAAAATGGCAAAGATGCATCCAACTTAGGTACCTTGTGTCGAGATGAGAAAATTATATTATAAATATAAATATATATAAATATAAATATAAATATTATCGGCAAATTGTTATATGCTATATGATAATTTCTAAATTAGTCGAACGGAGAGGTCGCGTATGGATGTACATGTATGTATACAGATTGCGTTTTACTAGAGTAACTGTAGTTAAGTACGATATAAGGATAACGTGTACATAATACTCCGTTTAAAACTGACTTCGTCGTCGCGATCGCGGTTTAGAATGGAGAACTAATAGACGCGAAGGGAGAGAATAATGGGGAATTTTTCGGATCACGTCTCTTTTTTCATTCGATCGAGGAACACCTACGCGCCACCACTACGAGCACGTGGATTTTATCGTTCATAGTACATGTTCAGTTTTAAATCGAGACGCTTTAAGGTTTAAGAATCTTCGTAAACAGGCAGGATCAGGATTCGAAAGAATGTGGCGAGATCGCGTGTGATGCAAACGGGAATTCCATCGTGCGGGGGTGTGTGCGAAGGATCGAGAGCATTATTAAAAGTTCGGCAGTCGGTTCGACGGGCATCCAATAAATTTCCTTGCGAATGTATCGAACCCTTTGCGCCCCAAAGTATTTTCTGCCTTTTATTTCGGAATAGTGCTATAAATTTTGCTACAAATAGTTGCTATTCGCAACCTAATCGGAACAGTTGAGAAATATCACAATTGTTCTTACACACCACATAATTTATGTTCATAATGCGAATCAGTAAAATAACTAACTATTAATATAACAATCAATGTCGAGACCGACTCGATATAGGAACGCAAAGGATTAACGAGTATGAACGGAAACAAGGAAGTTTCGCTCTGGCACACGCTTTTCGAAAGATGAATTCTTTTATAGAAAATTGTACGCGAGTACTTGTAAATTTTCGTTCGGATACATTTAAATGTGAATTGCATCTGCTCGAAACAAATTCAAATATTTCACACCGAAGGAGTATTATTTGAATAATTGATTACAGGGATTGAGAGAGAAGAGTAACGTGTCTTCGTCTTTAAAATCGTAATTTACATGAGAATATCCTGATAAATGAAAGAAAGTAACGATTCATGCAACGCGGTCTTTTGTTAATTACTTGCGGTAGCTTTTTCATGTTATCGTCTGCTTTAACAGACCGCCTTTAACGGTCGCCATTTTAATGGATCGTAAAAGTATTCGAGCATTTGCAACGAAACGATTACGAAACAGAATATACGAATTCATCTTAATTAATTGATAGCCAAAATATACAAGGCATCTGGAAGCGTCTAGCCGATGAATTTTTGTGTACATACAAATACGTTATCGATGCTTCTACAAATATGTTACTCCTTTTCATGCTCGATAACGCATGTTCGGTCGTACAAAATTTATATCGAATTCAATGAAACTCGAAGTATAATCAACTTTTCTGCAAGCGAGTGCGTCATTTGTAACGACTCGGATTCAATGTCTTCCACGATTTATTTACGACGCTAAGGATTGCATTCGCATAGCGACCACGAGCATTCCAACTTAGCTCCGAAAAATCGCGGAAACATTCTGGTGACCCCGTTCGCGGAGATGCCGCCTGCGGGCGAATCTTCTGCGGTCTTCTCGAACCGACGCAAATCTTTTTTTATTGCAAGTTCGTGACGTCCGGAGGTCCTTCGAATCGATCGTAACCGTTGGAAAGAAGTTTCACGGTATTCCGCGATACCGCGCGTAACGGTCGGGGTATTCAAACGATTCGAATAAATTGGAAGTATCCGAGGCATTCCGGCCGCGGTATCGCTTCCGCACGGGACCGGAAGTCCTCGGACGGCCTCGCGGCGTTTAGATTTGAAAGTCGAATCGCGAGCATCGACGACCCCGAGGGGCGAGACGCTGGCAGCTCGCGATGCTCGCACACATCTCGCCGGAACAGACGCGTCACACGGTTAGCGGTAGACTATAAACGTAATAACGATCGCATTAATTAGGTAAAGTAAATGCAACATTCCAGTAAATGCCGGGATTGCCAGCTGCTCGGCAAACAGCTGCGCGGGGAAACTCGCGACAATCGATCGACGTGTTTTCCCGTGCACACGCTCCCGTTGCCGACACTCGCTTCGCTAATGAGAAACGGAAACAACGAGATTCTCCGTCGCCGTCCTCGTCGTCGTTGTCGCGTCGTCGCCGCGACGCTGAGAAACGAGAGCGAACGGGTATCGAGCGCCGCGTACACACACGCTACGTTCTTGCGATAAATTGTAATCGAAACGCTAGTTGTAAAACCGTACAAGTCCTGTAAGCACCTTCCAACAATTGTATCGTTTCTGTAACACCCCCGTCACTTTTTTGTCTTTTACTTACTTCTTCTTTTTAATTCCGAATCGATCAAAATGGGACTCCCTTCTTCCGAACGTTATGTAACGATTTGCTAATAAATTTGAATAAACATGCTGAGAAATTGTGTAAATTGTGGAGGCTAGGATTTTTTGTTTTTTCGTATCCCCGCGAAATTCTCTTCAAAATTCGATTTCCCGAACGCGTCGACGCGCGTGGACTTGTGTCGTTTTACGACCGCCGCGATTCGGTGAAACATAGGTAACGATGTATCGTCGTTCAAATACAACCGAAGTGGTTGCGATTACCTGGTAATCGCGATCTATTACTTTTACATTGCTATTGATTGTGTCGATTGCAGCGGCTGAGATCGCTCTGCAATTTACTTTTTACGAGCCTCGAATGCGTATTGTATCATTGGCGGTATGGCGTGGTGGTTATTCGGTTCGACCGTTATTAGCGATAATAGCGAGCTGAATGCTCCCGATACTCGTGACACAACTATGGAGAGAAATTATCATTCGCGGAGGAGAGCGATGGAGCTCGCCTCTTATCCGTTATCGAACGACTTGACCACGGATCCTAATCATGCGGACCACTTCCGTGAACGTTTACCGAAATGATTAACACTCGTTGACACTACACGTCATACATGCGTAGATTTTGATTCGTGCGATACGAATGGAAAGAATGGTGCTCGATAAGTAAACCATCTGTGCCAGGAACGGTTGCGTCAACTATTACTCATAGTTCGTGCACGCTTTCGGATCAATCGAACGTAATACGTCGGATTGACTTCAAGGAATCCATTAATTGTAGATACGGATGACGTTCGAACCGTTTACCCTTGTTTCTCATCGCTGCCGAGGATACATGTATTCACGCGCGCATCATCTGGCGGGAATTTCTATCGAACGAGGATAACGCACACAGAATGGAGAATTTATCGAATAACTTTATTCTACGTTGCTCTCGGAGCTTTGCAAAATAATGCGTCCAGAGGGTTCTTGGAAATTTGGAGGTAGACGATGTTTGTTAAATTTCATTAGTTTAAAATCTAAACTAAGCGAAAATTATTGTAAGATCGACAGAGAGACGAAGTTTGACTCTTGAAGATCTATCATCAACAGAATGTTACCTCGTGCTAACTTTTGCTTTCACGTCCATGAGGGGGCACGTGTGAGAAAACCGATCTGTTTATTTTTTTTTATACGATTGTCACGAGGAATTAGTATTATTAGCTGTCTCTTAATAATATCGAAGCAAAAGTTACAGAGGTTGAAACGTTGTCGACGATAGCCTTTGAACTTGGAACTTCGATTCGACTGGTTGATGGTGAAACTTGGAAATTTTTATGGTGCACATTCTTTAGATAAATAATTGTTATTTCATCGCTTAAACGATAGATGAAAATTATCCAAAACTAATGTAAGCGTAAATATTAGTCTAAAGTAGAAAATAATTTGGAGTTTCGTCAAAAACTTTTCAAGGTTTTCGATACTACGTCACACACATTTCGACAGCACCCTATGAACCGAGTCGAATGGAAACGACAGATTCATTTCGAAGATAGCGAAGAATCGTGTCAAGCGATTACGACAGTCGAACAGTGTCGCTTTCCGATCGACATAACCATCAGTGAAGCGATAAAGTGTACTATATGCGGCAAAGCGGCGGGTGGCAGTCCAGGTGCGCATATTTGCTGTGCCAATGCAATGCGTTTTCTGTACATAGTACCGTAGCCCTAATTAATATTAGCTAGATAGTAGCTGGAATCGTGTTGACGTAGAGGCGACGGCATACACACCGGTAGATGTAATCGATAAAAAGCACACGGAACTGAGGGATGCGAGCGTTCTTCAGCCATGCGACACGTGGAAATTCGCGAGTCTTGCCGCCATTGTGATTTTCATCGAGTCGTCGAGAACCCACAGGGCTGGTAACGATGTCGATATTATTTAAGCGACAGCCAGCGGAGAATTACCGTGTCAGCTACGTTCAGATCTAACGTTTTCAAGCATGAAACTGGCTAACAAGACCGGAGAAAGCCCGAACCGATAGAATCACCCACACCCACCCCCAGCCGTTTGGAAGAGAGATTCGATCTTGCGTTGCGAATCATTCGAGCGATTGACATTTGTGTGGCATGGATCTGTACGACAATTAACGTGCAAATGAATTGTAAGTAACGCGGAGTGCTACACCATACTCGAGAAAGGGTCCTACCTTGAATCCTTTATTTGACAGACAGTGAATTTTCTACGGCATTTCGTTGGGAACCTGTAACGTTGCTTACGAGCGCTGTATTGTATAGTAAGATAGGCAGCCAAGAGATGTATAATGCTTTTTGTACGCGTAACACGCGAGAGGGGTCGTCAAATAAAGGATCAACTCGTAGATTGTACGCGCGAGAACGGCACACGGAGTTCCAATTTGTACAATAATACTCATAATTCGGGAGGTTCGTAATGGTAATGGTTGAACCTTCTTCTTTTCATTTATATACATAGAAGATACATACGTAAAACACGCGCACGCGTGTCTAAGAGAAAAGGGATACTATCTAATCGGCTGCATATTGCGAATAGTATTATTTAAGATATATCGACGCTACTGAGTTGGCTAGTTCCGTTTTCTGATAAGTTTATCCCCTGGTTTGCGACGTACATATTTGCCTTTCTCACCGATGCGCTGATCCATAACTGTCCGCGTATTATGGCGACCAACAGCTGACCCTTTTTTTACACTAAGTTACACAAGACTTGTACGATGTAAGGAATTAAATTAGGTGTTATAGATATTATTGGTACCGGTACGCGATAAGAGACTCACCAACTCCAAAGTCATGAAAAGATACTCATCGTTAAAGGGGATCCGCGATTTTTGTTCTTGCTCTTAAGTACGCATACGCCCATCAAACGATTGTTCTTTTCTTTCCTCCTTCCTTTGATTCTTTCTTTTCCTTCTCTTCCGACACGACAGCTGTGTGAGACGAGACCGAGGTTCACGGAAAACTGCCAAACACGGGCAATAAGTCGTTTTACCTATCTACATTAAGCGAATCAACGATGAATTTTTGTACGCCGTCGTAGCTGATGAGAAACGAAACGAACAACCGTCTTCGACTCATTCGCCGCCCGACATAATCCATAGAATGAAAAAAATAAATAAATAACGGTGACGGGAGGGAATAAACGTCCGAGCAGATGGGTTCGAAAAAAAAAGAAAAGAAAAACAACACTCGTACCGATTAGTTTCACCGAGGCGGAAGTGCTAGGATCCGAAATCGTCTTACACTTCGCACAAGACTGAGGAGCTTGTATATAATATATATTTAGCGCAGTACGTACATTTGATATGAACGAGGATTATCGATTTATCAGAGAGGATTCGGTTCATTTACCACGCGACACAATAACTGTACCACACCTGTAAAAGAGGAGTCGTAATTTGTATATATACGAATCAAGGTCCTACCGCGATATACATACATACATATTATACATACATACATACTACGTACATGAATACATACATTACATACGTGCATGTGTTACTACCGTTGCCCACGTCACGGCGACTCCGTTTCTGTAAAATCGTTCGAACTGTTTTCTAACGTAAGGAAATCTGAGGACGCGCGATAAAGCGCGAGCGATCAGGCAGACGTAGAAAATGGTAACAAAGTCCTCCTATTTTTCAGCAGCCCGTGCAGGTCGAAAAAAAAAACGAAATCCCAACGCGTTCGAGTGCAAACGTGGAACACGCCCGATTCAGTGGACCAAAACGATTCGCCGCCTGAATTATACGTCTCATTTTTTACTTTGCTCCCTTTAGCGTTCCGATAGAGCTGATGCAAATGCTAGAGAGGCGATAGATCGGTTTCAGAGGCAGTCTCAGGCTAATCTACCGCGGCTATGATCGACGAGAGGCACTAGATAAAACCGTACCATCCTCCGAATCTTATTGTCATATGATCCGTGCAACGGGAAATTAAGAAGAACAAAACAAAGAAACGGGAAAACGGAAACATAACGCGCATCGTTGTATCTCGATTTTGCGAAGACGTATCTTTTTCACTGCAAGACTTATATCCTCCGACGTTCATCGTTGTCTCGAGGGCGATGCGTCTTGTTCGTTGCGTACCAAATATACAGAACGCCGTCGCGATACACCGTTTCATAAGCAACACAAAAATACGTATAAGAAGGAAGAGAAAGGGCAATTTGACAGAGAAACAGATTCTCGCCGATGGATCCTATAACCGAGTGTCCGTGATGTCCAATCTAAACGGTAGTAATCGAATTAATGCGAATTATACCGCAAGGGATCCGCTTCTGAGTTACATTTACATCTACAATCCAGATATCCATACGATAACGTTAAATAGATTAAGATGAATGTCACAAGTAATGTAAACTGAGAATAATAAGATGAAATAAACGAGACGATGATTCAAATACAATAACGGTATATTTTCTGGCTTGTCATGATTACACGATCGCATACATATGTACAGCTTTTCCATTTCCATTCGGTTACATACGGTTAGTGACCCGGCGCATTGAAAATACCGTTCCGAAAATAGTGAAACATCCGGATAGCCGGCTTTGTTGTTTGGTCCATCACATCGCTTTTCTTTATTGTAGAAAAATTTGTGCAAAGTGATTATTGCTTAAATGAACACTTCGCAGATGCATTTGAAGAATCGATATTTGATTTGCATGAATCATCATAAATCATTACGTTTCTCGGGCGCAATCATATAGTACAGATTTTATATTAAATACAATAAAGAAATTTGAAACAGGAGGTTCTCGAAAATATTTAGCAAAATGTGAAATGCCTTAATATTAATTATTGTTATTTGTTGTCAACAGCTGTCATGAAATCCTCATTAAATACATAGTTATCTTTGACACTAAAACTACCGCACTGAGCAAAACAACGCAATTCAGTTTTGAATCTAAATTATTACTTGGAAACATAAATTTTGTGTAAAAATGTCCGATGAATTAATGTATTCGTACGGCTATTAAGATAAAAATATCTTAAAATCTTAACAAATGTAATCTTCTGATTCTTATGAACTATTAAAAATGTGTAATTTTGTTTGCTTCGTATTCTTAAACTTATATTAAAATCTTTCAAGTTGCTTTGACCTGGATATACAAAACGTTTATAAATAATGGATCGACTTGATTTATGTGTGGACTCTATATATAGTATCATTTAGGTGACTAGGTTATTTTGCATATCCTAAAGACGTTTTCAAGGTCACCTTCATTAGTGACTCAACAAATGTCCAGTCAGTGATTTAACTTATTTCGTAATTTTTCTAACATATTCTTGCCAACTGTACATTTCCATAACTACGTTAATACTCAATTTTAATTAATCAGTGATCGTTTTATAATTTTGAATAATCTTCCAATGACTTTCTAGATACTAATACATGAATTTATTTCTAGCATCCTCGACTACACACAAACTCTTTTCTACAGAAGACGTCATTTCTTAAATTTCTCTTTTAAAACACATGCCGATAAACGGACTTTGAAATTTCTCAGAATTTCAAATCTTCTATTTAATCGTTAAAAGTGCGTTAATCATTTACAAACACTTTGTATATCACAGGTAGGTATATATTATATTTACTCTTCTAATATATGAAAAAATTATACATCTCGATAATATTATTTATATTCTGTTCAGAGAGAGTTTTTGACTGATTGCTAATAAGAACTTTCTACCAAAAATGAATCTAAGATCACAGTTAAATACTTTAAAGTTATTTCATCAATTGTCCTACTTTCGAAATCTTATACATAATTGTCCATTGTTATCCAACTAAAATACATATTCCATTTTAATTGGTCAATTCCTGGAAGACGAACTCGACGAAATCTCGACAAATGGTTACCATCAGTTCCATATTGGGTACATTCAACGAGACCCAATAATACAACTACTATACGTATCATTTTTATATATGTATATATATACATATAATCCAGCAGTATTCACAGGTCTGTAGAGATTATGGAATTATCTTAAAATTAGGAAGATCTTCCAAGAATTTCCTATGCCGAAAGATATTCACCAATCAGTATCCCAACGATACCTATACAGTCAAACCTGTTTTTGTGCGAACTTTTTTATGTGATTTTTTTGTGCGCTGTTTTTCTACAGTCCCTATCTACCGCACAAAAACGGGTTTGAATGTATTCACATACCGCATAAAAAAATCGCACGAAACAAATCTCAAAAAGATCGCATAAAAAAAAGACTGCACAAAAACAGGTTTGACTGTAAAAGTGTTACGGTATCGACACAGATACACAGTACATTCAAAAAGAAAGCACTTAGTATTTCTATATACGTTCGTCGATTGTCAACCACCGTGTTTACCTTCGCTGAGATAAAGGGTAAAAGATAAAAGAAATTTTATTAACTGCCTAGGAAAATACATCACACTTATGATCCAATCTTTCTCGTTTATCTTCTTCGCTCGTTATTTTTTCATGGCAGTCGTGACACTGTCGCAACCAGCTTGCAACTCACAACTTATACATACCCAGCAGAACCCCGTTAATTACAATATCTGGAAGACTAGACGATGAGTTTGACTGTGCGTATGGATCACAATGAAAACTTAATACTGGATGATGGCCGAGTGAATTCGGATGATCATACCGAGTATCGTTCGCATCCTTGTGCGTGCTGCATCAAAAAGAAAATAACAAGATTAGTTATTTCTATTCTACTTTGTAGTAAAAGATTATTATTTTATAGACTACAATAAAATACAATGGATCGTTTATCGTGAATTAGATTAACACATCTTTTTACGCTTTTGATTTGTGATCTATCATGATCTCAATGTACTAGTCATGTTTGTGACAGAGTAGTACAGTACTACACACTGACGAAAACGCAATGGCATAATTACATATTTAAAATGCTGGAATATAGGTCTTCAAATGTTCAAGAATATTACGTGTCGAGTTACATATTTTTACTTCTTAATTAAGATGTCAGATGCAAGGGCTTCATCTCGCAAAATAATGAAACAGAAATTAAGAGGACGTACTTTAAAGTAACTAAATGCGTTACTTTAAATCCTACCATATGAAATTATTTTCTTAATTTAATGTATTATTATAATTTAAATTTACATTTGAAATAACTGACAGATGTAATTTCATTTAATGTTTTATACGAACGATGAATCAGAAATAATAATCTTTCGCAGTGAAACAAATTAAATTAAATTAATAACCAAATTAATCATTGCTACATATAAATCATAAACTTAACGAGTAGCTTGCAGTTTTGACACAAAGTACCAGAACCAAACTGCAGTGATCTCTAAGAGTATTTCATATTTGTCATACAGACAACTTTTATATTTCGTAGGTCTTTTGTAAGATATTTATAGAAATAAAAGTCATGAGTTAAGTAACGTTTAAATTTTTCAATTCTTTATTCTTTAGAATCTTTTACTTCATCTCGCAGAAACCCTAAAGAGGTTGCGCAGAACAGAGCTTAATTAATTATCAGCTGTGCTTGAATTTTTTACCAAAGGAATTCATTACTGCTTTTCCTGATATAAAGAAAATTTGAAACAACTGGATTCAATAATATGAATTTTCAGTTTAATAATAATAGGGGTAAGGATTATTCATTTTATTGTTGATGCCGTTTTATATATCTATATTTATTTTTCCAGCCATATTTATATGTTTATCTAGAGTATAAATTTGTTATATGATACATGAGCTCATAACGTTCAACAGGAATAGACTGCAAAGATAAGATAATTCTTTTCTGCAGAAGAGAAATTCTTTTCTATAAATATATTGCACATTTACGATGAAAGTGACATATTTCGAAACAGTATACCATTTTCCTGAAGAAGCGAAGAACTGTATTTGAATATAATTGTATATTATGTTGTGAATTAAACTGAATTCACGAGCGAAAAGAATAATCCTTATAAAACGAATTCTCAGATACATATACTTGCACACAATGAGAGTCGAAACACAAGTCATCTAAATTAAGAAGATAAGTGAATAAAATTGTCATAATTGGTTGCAGAACATCTCTACAATGATAATTAAAAAATCGCCTTTTTTCAGTTGTGTTACTTTCGTTAAAAGTATGCGATATTATTTAAGATCTATGGGCATTACAATGAGTCAAAATTATTATACCCAAAATTTTAAACTGATTATTTTGCGAACACAGAAATGCATTTATTTCCCTTACGTGGATTCTTCGTACAAACGAAAAATAAAACATTGCATGAACCGAAGTTCGTGTGAGGAATATTTTTCCCACGCTAGTGGATCATTTAGGTCCACTTAGCGTTGCATTTAATTCTATTGTTCCGCTTGACCAATCGATGAATCTTGAACTGTCCACATTTCACTACGTAAATTACGTGAGAAGAAGTGCATACAATGAAAAATCTTAAAATACAGGAAACTCTACTTATTGTTAGTTGCAGAGGAAGTGTAAGGCTTAAAGTGCACATGACTGTAGATTTTGTATCAATCCTAGCCGTGACAGAAAATATTCAACAAAAAAGAAATCGTGAATATGATTGCTAAAAGTGTTATTTGGATGTCTAAATGTTTGTTGGAAAAGAACCATAAACGATACAAATAAATAGAATAAACGAGATAGCAATATTTTTGATAGATGCACGTGTCCTTTTATCAAATACGAAATAATCAATTGTTTGCCTGCGTATGAAAATTATACAATAATTTAAATAGTAAGACAAGGCATTAGAACATTTTCTAATACTTCAAACAATGAATATTATGATAAAGACATTTTCAAAAAAATGTCCTCGATCCTTGGTGATGATTAAATCCTTTCTCAAGCAATCGAACGAGTTCAATTTTATATTAGAAACTTCCTGACACAATAACAACTATCGAAAATCTAAGACGATCCAAGAAGATCTCGCAATTTGCACTTACAAATGAAATAGAGATTTTTCGGTAAATAAGTGCCTCTTTAAAAATATTAAAGCAGCAATAGATTACAATTACGAATATAAGTTACAGTCGTAATGTGTTTACTTTCTAGAATAATATCTATCATTTTCGATATGAAACTATTCACTTTACACAATAACCCTTTCTATACCAAATAATTTTCATACTAACAATTTTTGTTATGTCTCCAGCAGGTTATGAGATATTCCAGCATTTTCAGGTAAGAGGACTTTTCCACTTTCGGTCGTTTTTAAGAAAATATTTTCAATTGTTCTAGGAAAATGAGAAAAATGTTTTAAATTGCCGTTTCTTTATTATATTATTTAAATCTTGAACTTCAGTTTATATATGTATAATGATATTATAATAATAATATTAATATTATTATAAGCTTATATAGTATATAAGACATGTTCGTCCCAACATACTTAATTGCAGTTATAATTAGACCACGTAATTTATACAAAATAAAAATTATGTTCATAAATGTGTATGCATTTATTTCTGAGCTAAATTATTTTAAATAGTTGAAAATAATTCGTCAGTATTTTTAAATTCTTCAAATGATTTTACTGTTTTGTATTTGATCTACTCATTGCTGTAATAAATCTATAAAATCCACGATCTCATAATAAGTATCTAATAATTGATACTTATAGAAATAAGAGAAATCATTACATATTAACTACGTATTTTGTATTTACAAATTTTCGAACTTCTTCTGAAGAAAATCTTTCCAATTCTGACTGTGGCTCGCAGAATCCTCGTAGTGTTAGCGTGTCACTCCAAGATTCCGAAAAACCTAATTTGAAGATCATTGTAACAGAAAAACGTGTCGATTCGTTTAGTTCCAAAGTCAAGAATTCGCGAAGATTGCCCCAGATGCGCAAACGAAGTCCGCAAGTCTGTTAAGGATTTAACATTCGTTGAACCACGCCGCGATTCCGTGTTGCAATATCATAGAAAGGCGGCGCATATTGTGAGCACAAACGGCGCGGCATTGCACGAACACATACCTCTTGTATGACGCGTTGGCAGTCCGACTCTCTATACCCAGAAAATTGAGAACCTGTTGCTTCGTCGCTGAAAGACGCAACATTTTTTGGGTGTACAGCTCCAAAGCAGCTCGCCTTTGCTCGAGTACCTTTGGTTGGCAATTTCTTACTCTCTTCGGCGGAAACGGAGCGACCTCCGCGTTCTCTTTTTTCAGCTGCAAGCAAAGATCGATGTAAGAACACCTCGCGTTATGTCGTGCGAAACGAGAGTACAAGACATATTTAAATATAGGGCGGTCACGTGTATGGTTGACGCAAATTTTTGACTTTTCAAGGATACAATGTTGAAATAATGCAGAACTTTACTAAACGAGATATACTCCATTCTGTTCAATGATTATTATTTGTCACACTGTTGCGCTATCTTCGGCAGCATTGGGATACATTGAATTAGTATAATATACATATATATTATTGTATTCTATATATATATATTTAATATAATATAATATAATATAATATAATATATATATATATTATATTATATATTAATATATTATATATTACATTATATTATATATATTATATTATATTATATTATATTATATTATATTATATTATATTATATTATATTATATTAAATTAATATAATTAATATGACACATGCACGTAATGGCTCATTAGTCGAACGAATGCTGGAGATTTGGTAATCGTGTTTTTCTTTGCCGCTGTTAGAAAATTTCTCAAGCTACGTAAAGTGAATATATTTCTCGTATATTTCCCTTAATCTATCGTGTTTATTTATTCCGCCTTTTATTCTTGATATATCGGCCTCTAATATACGTACAATTTACGAAGATACGTATGCGTTTTAAAAACAGAAAACCATATCTTTAACTTTGTGAAATCCCAAATATGGAATTGTTAGTGACAGTTTGACACATGGATATGAGTCGATCGGAAACAACTATTGTTTTCATTTGATGTTAAAATGCATTGAAATATTTTCGAAAATCATCTTATAGATCTATTTTGAATATAGAAAAGTGATCCAATTTTTAAATATACGTTAGAATTTTGTTTTCGGCAATGATATACTTTTTAAAACGAAGAGATAGGAATTGTGATGCTCGATTTTTTAATGGTTTTGTAGTAAAGGAAACAAAAAAGTAAATCTAGTGGCGTCATGTCTGGTGAACGTGCTGACCGAGGTGCTGACTTGATAAACTTTGAAACAATTTCCAGTAGAAACTCGATCTTATCGTTTCGAGCATTCCAAACTAATGAAACAGCTAGAATCTGGAACTACACAAGATGATAGTATATAGTATATTCGTATAAAATAGATAGTATATTCGTATATGTTCACAAAATCTTTTCTACTACTATCTCGAGGGTACATTATGTTATCAAGAATACTTAACAAATTGTAATGAATTATGTAAAGAAGGTTAAGACATATTGAAACAACTAATAGAAGATTGTATGCAGCTAGAAAGATGCGAGTGTTATAGATATGCGAAAGATACAGTGTTGATAATAACGTATGTAAAGAGAGAGAGAGAGAGAGAGAGAGAGAGAGAGAGAGAAAGAGAGGTTAAGGTTGATAATGTAAACCGAGTCCATTTTCTAAGCCTAGAAAGTTGAAATTAAATAAATACTACTACTTCTACTAATACTAATGCTACTACTATTCCCCTTCTACTTTCAGCATTAAGGAATTTCGTATCATGAAAGTATAGTAAGTTAAGTAAAGTAAGTTAGACAGCAGAAAGAAATTTTTAGAATTGCTCTTTCTAACACTTTTTCAGTACTCTCACTAGTATAATAAAATATAAATATATTCTGTCTTTTACCATTGCTAAATTCGAGCACATTGAGGGTAAAATGTCGGATTATCGATTATCTTTTGCTGTTCTAAAAAATCCGCGAAATATTCTCGATATCAAGGTCTGACAATTCTTGAAAATTCCTTATTAGTATACATATTCAACATTTTTTCTGTTTCCAAGCGAACACTTTTTGACATAATTAGGGGAAGGTCGCGTACCATACCAATGCTGTTTTGGATTTAAATCTCTATTATAATGTGCAAGGTTTCCTCACAACCTTCAAACATACTTGAATGCATTTTATCGTCTACTATACGACGCAACATAAAACATACGTATTGTATATGTTTTATGTTGCGTGCCGTAGTAGACGATAAAATGCATTCAAGTATGTTTGAAGGTTGTAAGGAAATGAAGAGAGATTCAATACAATTTATATAATTATATAATTTATATTATATAATATAATAATATATATAATATTATAATTTATATTATATAATATAATAACATATATAATTTTATTATTTATATTATATTATTATATATATTTATACTATAAATTTTAATTTATATATATGTATATCTGT